TGTCTCAAATCATATTCCAATCAGAAAGGCCTGAAGGTTCACTCCAAGACACACATCACTCAAAGCACTTCCACACCAACTGTCAAGAAGTTTAAGTGTCATTACAGCGAATGCCAGAAGATATTGAGTTCAAAGAAAAACCTATTCTTACATTTGCAAAGACATTCATCTGAGAGGCCCTATAGGTGTGACTTCATTGGGTGCGGGAAGTGCTTCAAGACATCATATGATCTCAAACAACATTCAGAACGACACAAAACGGGTCCCACTTATAGGTGTGATGTCGACCGATGTATTGATATGTTTTACACTCAATACCACCGAAGCCTTCATCACAAGTCTGTTCACAATTACTGTCCAAAAGAGGCAGAAGTTTGTGTTGAAAACAAGAGACAAGAGATGACTAAAGACTCGGATAATAATTGTATGGAAACGACAGATACTTTGGATTCAAATAACGATAAGTCTGTAAAACAGGAATCAATGATTGCTATCCTGAAGAAGAATCGCACGGAAAGAGAGAAATGTTTTGATTTGAATACAAAGACATTTAAATGTCCGCTAAATGATTGCACCAAAAGTTTTACAAGAGATGTGAGATTTTATGCACATTTCTCTGAATTTCATACGAATCAACGATTTAAGTGCGAATACAAGAACTGCAATAAAGTGTTTAAAGTGAAGAATAAATTGAAAGATCATCAAAACAGCCATTTAGACGATAAGCCCTTTAAATGTCATTATAATGGCTGTGAATATCAAACGCATACAAACGTACTTTTGAACCAACATTTGGTGATTCATTCAACGGACAGACCGTTGTTTAGATGCGATGCCATTGACTGCGGGAAGACATACAAAAGTCAGACGCATCTAGAATTTCATTTCAGGGAAACACATGAAAATGAATCGAGACATAAGTGTGGTATCGATGGCTGTAATGATATGTTTAGAACTCAACACCAAAAACGCAAACATCAAACTCGTGTTCACAATCGGGAGCCTCTCGTCTGCAAACAACAGAAATACCGGTGCGATTGGCCGGGATGTGAGTGGACGGGCGGCGCCATCAATGATCACAAACGTCAACATACGGGCGAAAAGCCATTCCAGTGTTTATGGCCAGACTGTGGCAAACGGTTCCGATTGAAACCCAATTTAAGAGATCACATGAATATTCACAACAATGTTAAGCCCTATGTGTGTCATTGGCCCGGATGTACATACAGTGCCAATAATAGTGGTAATATGACTAAACATGCGAAACAAGTCCATAAGACATAACATTGTTATACAATTAGCGATATAAATATGATTAAAATTGATTGACAAACAATAAAAATGTGTTAAAATTTATTCTACAATAAGCGCATACTTTTTCATAATTCATCATGAACTATGTCAGACAAAATAATTATACCGTATTTAAAATGCATGACATCGTATAAAATACAACAATTAATTATTTTAAGTTTTTAATTTAATTAAATGATAAAGTTTTTCCCAATACTTCTCAACACAACTTCAAGTCTATTGATATCTTATGGTAAAACTTATGATCACTTTAAACAGCGATATCTTGCGTACAATTCAGTCATTCATTTACACAATCATTGAGTGAATTGTTTGGCAAAACATTTTTCAACACAAATATTATAAACAAGACATACATTTGCGATGAATAGTAGCCACAAATCAGTCGCCCTTTAATTAAACACAAGTTTTTGTTAATTAAAATTATTATTAATTTTACCGCATATCGGAGGGCCTGGTAGTGGTGGTGGGGTGTCTGTGGGGTTGAGATAACCCTGGTCAGTGTTCACGTTAAGTTATATAGGTAATTTGTACGCGAATAACCCTGATAGTTAACTAACATTTTTAACTTTATCATTTTAATTTATTTGCCAATTAGTTTTGTACGTGATTTTTAGTCAACTTTTTTAGATTTGATTTATTACTGGATATTAACCTTCATATGAATTGATAAAAAATTAGTTTATTTCTTAATTTAATATATATTTTAATATAATTTCTTATCAAAACATTTATCTATAAATGTTTACATTATTTCAATGAACTCTTGTTTTTAAAAAACTTAAACTTTGATTTAAACATTGATTTAAACTTTGATTTTTAATTTTATTTATAATTCAGTGCAATATATTTGTGGCAACGATTGTGACGACAATTATTGTAAATTAATACCTAAGTTAACCCAAAAAAACACGTACAAAATGTTTGCCGTAATTACCAAAACATTTCAATTGCAAAAAACTGGTTTAAATGTGTGTAAAATATCGGCTAATGTCTGGTCTCAGCGAAACCCGAGCCGCGGTTTGGCCTCAATTGAGGTAATTTTGTTGTTGTCTTTGTTTCGCACATCTCTTATCACTTATTCATTATTTAATTTGCAAACAAAACCTGTTTTTCTTGTTCTCTCCCGAAGACTAATCCAAAGACCAATGAGTTTAAGTACAGCATAAATGGTAACTCAAAATTGACTTCAGACCAGCAAAAGCAATACGAAGAGCAGGGCTTTATTGTCGTCAAGAATCTGATCCCAAAGCACGACATCGAGAAATATCTGTAATTACTTTCAATTCTTCATTCAATGATAATTCAAACAATTTGTTCAATAATCAAAACAATCACTAAAACAAATAGCAAACGATTCAACGATATCGCCAACCGTCGAGTGCCGACACCTCCCGGTCTGACCGTCCAGAAGGAGGTAAAGGTGGCCAAAGAGGCGCAGAACGAGAACACTGTATACAAACTGCAGGACCTGTTCTTCGACGACGTGCTCTTCGAGTACTGCAAACACCCGAATGTCTTGGAATACGTGGAGGCGTTTTGCGGGCCGAATGTGATGGCCATTCACACTATGCTAACACTGTATACAAACTGCAGGACCTGTTCTTCGACGACGTGCTCTTCGAGTACTGCAAACACCCGAATGTCTTGGAATACGTGGAGGCGTTTTGCGGGCCGAATGTGATGGCCATTCACACTATGCTGATCAACAAACCGCCCGATTCGGGCACCAAATCCTCTCGACATCCATTGCATCAGGACTTGCATTACTTCCCGATCAGACCCGTTGACAAGATAATCGGCGCGTGGACTGCGATGGAGACAATCAATAGGGCCAACGGCTGTCTTGTGGCCATTCCGGGCACCCATAAGGGCGCACATCTGGAGCACGATTACCCCCAATGGGAGGGCGGCGTCAATAAGATGTATTACGGCGTCAAAGAGATGTCCGGACAGGAGAATCGGGTCCATCTGGAGATGGAGGCCGGGGATTGTATACTATTTCATCCGCTACTGATCCACGGCTCGGGAACCAATCAGACCAAAGGGTTCCGCAAAGCCATATCGTGTCACTTCGCGGCCGCCGATTGTCACTACATCGACGTCAAGGGAACCATTCAGGAGAACTTAGCCAATGAGGTGCTCGCTGTGGCCGCCAAGAAGTTCGGCAATAAGTTTGACGACTATAGTGTATGTATTGTGACAATCAGTATAGTGTTTAACAAATGGATTCATGAAATGATTGATTGTTTTTATTTAATGATAGCTTTTATGGAAATTTCGATCACAACTCGTGAGGGGAAAGGAAGTGAATCTTTGAATACGCTTTTAATGACAACTTTTATGGCAATATTTAAGACATAATTTTACAAATATTGAAAATTTTTGACAACTACTATACAAATGTACTCTTTTTTAACGTTATGTATGTTTAAAATTTATATTTAATTAATTTTATTTTTGTAATAATAATTGTTTTAATTCCTGAATAAGTAATTTATCATTACTTTCGGACACTTTGTCCAGAAATGGGACCAAATTCTGGTCCAATAGAACTTTTTGCAGACTCTGGTCGTCGGCTAACGCTATAAAACCGGTGAGAATTGTCTTATTAATCGACAGCCGATTCTCGTATGTCTTTTCAAACACTTTCACAATGAATGGCAATATAGTGGCGATGTCTTCGCGTAGCGCTTCCGTCTCTTCGGTCACCCAAACACAGATCACTCGAATTGAGGCCAAAATACTGACAAATATGTCATTATCGACATCGAGTTCGGGACACTCTTCGGCATTGAATCGCTTCAAATATCCAATGATGACAAGCATTGTGTCCCGAATGGCGGTCAACATATCGAATATCTCCTCTTGGGTTAAGTGCTGCAGAAGTGACAGCTCTTCGGAATCGTTGGCCACTGTAAGCACCGAATGCTCTAAAATGACGAAACTGTTGGCCACACACGACATGTCTATATCTTCGGACTCGTAGTTCATCGACACTTCAATGCAAGACAAACGCAACAGAAGTAGAAATTGTTTTGCATTTGTTTTCGTCCAACACTTGGCCGACGAGTAGATCCACTTAAAGCCGTCAAACAGTTCCGTCAGATTTGCGGCCAATTTGACGATCGGATCCCTGAGTTCTTTGTTGAGTTTGCTTCGGAGGACATTATATATGGTATCACTTATGACACCAATTGATGAATGGATCTCTTGTTTGGTCACAAAAAACTTGTGATTTGTGTTAATTATTGCCGTCAAGTGTTGACACAATTCAAACTTTCGTTTGTCTTGAGTTGAACTGAAATCTTGAGCCACGGATGAGATAAACAGACCAAACGATTGCGGCTCAAAGTCAGACCATTCAGTGGTGATCGCAATCTTCNGTCAAGTGTTGACACAATTCAAACTTTCGTTTGTCTTGAGTTGAACTGAAATCTTGAGCCACGGATGAGATAAACAGACCAAACGATTGCGGCTCAAAGTCAGACCATTCAGTGGTGATCGCAATCTTCATCAGCAGTCCATCGATTGATGTCTTATAGTCACTGAATCTCTCGTTTGCATTCATTTGCGACAATATTTGCGTGAATTTGGTCTCAAATAAACGGTTCAATGTCTTGAAGTCTGTTTGACGGATATCATCAGCAGTCCATCGATTGATGTCTTATAGTCACTGAATCTCTCGTTTGCATTCATTTGCGACAATATTTGCGTGAATTTGGTCTCAAATAAACGGTTCAATGTCTTGAAGTCTGTTTGACGGATCCGATCGGAACTGAAGACACACTCATAGCAAACGATAATATCGGACACCATTTGTCGCTCGTTATCATCTAAATGGCGGTTCAAATCATTCAATTGTCTTAATATCAACGCTTCTGCGGACACCAATTGAATGGCAGTCTTAGTGTCGATGGTATCGGCTATTCGGGTGAAGAACGCGGAGATAATTGACAGACCAATGGTTTGATAGATATAGGGCTGAGAGTCTTCATCGAGAGCCTGAGTATCGGTTCCATCCCTTGTCTGGCCGTCGGTTGTGAGCAGTAATCGACATAAAAATGTGGTACCAATTGATTTGAAGAGCTCTTCATTTTGGCGATCAGTTAGTGGTCTGTCTTTGAGGACATTGCAGACCACGAAGAGTGCGCTAAACCTCTCGGTATCGGTCGTGGCCTTACGTAAGGCATTGATGGCCAATGAGTAGTGTTGGGAACCGTCATCTTCGGTACTATTTGTGGCCATAGTTTTGGTGATAATATCAACGAAACGTTTTGTCATTCAACACGTGTTTGAGTTTTTGTTGACATATTTTTAAGTCAAATGTAAATTATTATTCAAGTAAAGCAATGGCTTTTCAATGTCTATTAGTCTCCCCTTTAAAAATTATAAATGTCTTTTTAGCACAACACCGACTCATAGGCTTATATTATAGGGTTATGCAGTGAAGTATGCGTTACAATACGGGGGAAACAACACTGTAATTATAGAGGCGTTTATTGATTATTCAGTACAAGCAGTGAATGTCAACAAAACATAACGTTTTTGTGAATCTATCGTAAAAACAGCTGTTTTTGAAATCAAACCATTTGTTCCCAAAAGTGATAATATCCTGAAGACGAGTGATAAATGTGCGGCCTATGAGTGGATACCAGAGGTCATCACGTGATGGCCACCAATCGCGCCATTCATCGACATCTCGCGGACACTCATCCAGACATCAACAGCGAGGCTATGGAGAGGAGGCTGAGGAGGAATTGGTGTCGAGCCATGTCTTCAATTACCACAAATACAGATACGATTTGAATAAAATGTTTTTCATGGATAACACGGCCGCCGGCGAAGACGAACAGCCGCTTAGAGTGGGCACCAAAGAGTACGAAGACTTTTGGACTTTTCTCAAGAGATATCAGACATCGGAGGCGAAGGCCATCGAAGAGGGCCGCGAAAAGCGGTACTACGAGTCTATTGAGCGCAAGATTGTTGACCTCGAGCTCAAGATACCGGACAAGTGGCGCGATGTGCGCGAACTCGTGGCCAAGACATCGGTGGTGAACGATATGGACGACCGGTACTACCGGACCAATAGTCTGGGCGTCGATCGCGTCCGAGAGTTTCGCAACATTTGTGTCTTGTATTTGGATTTTCTGGACAAACAGCGCGCGAAAGCGTTGGAAGCGTTGAGACAAATGCAAATGGATTTACCGATCTATCAGTTCAGGGATCAGATACTGGACGCCGTGTCTAAACACTCGGTTCTGCTGATAGCGGGCGACACCGGGTGTGGAAAGTCGACTCAAGTGCCGCAGTATCTGTTGTCCGGCGGCTATGAGAACATATGCTGTTCCCAACCCAGACGTATAGCCTGTATATCATTGCGAAAACGTGTCGCTTATGAGACACACAACGAGTTCGGGACACAAATCGGTTATCAGATCCGATTCGAGAGAAGCAAATCAAAACACACGAAGATTCTGTTCCTCACCGAAGGCCTACTCCTGCGTCAGGTGTCCACCGATCCGATGCTCGCCAACTACAACGTGATCATCTTGGATGAGGTCCACGAGCGGCACCTGTCATGCGATTTCCTATTGGGTGTCATGAAGTGTCTGATCCATCGCCGCTCGCATGACCTCAAAGTGATTTTAATGTCGGCCACCATTAATATCCAACTCTTCAGCGAATACTTTGGGAACTGTCCGGTGATTCAAGTGCCCGGACGTCTCTACCCGATCGATGTCCAGTACTTTCCGATACCAAAGGTTAAGTTCAGCGCTCACGAGCGGTCTTCGCGAACCGACGGCAGCCCTTATATGCGTATTCTTCAGATGATTGACGACAAGTACGACCAGAAAGAAAGGGGAGATTTGTTAGTGTTTTTGAGCGGTTTGTCTGAAATTAATTCCGTCGGCGATTTGCTGAAGGACTACGCGAAACAGACCCAGAAGTGGATCATTCTATACCTCCACAGCTCGCTATCGATCGCAGAACAGGACAAAGTGTTTGACGTATCACCAGAAGGGGTCCGCAAATGCATTCTGTCCACGAATATCGCGGAGACATCGCTGACCATCGATGGCGTGAGGTTTGTGTGCGATTCGGGGAAAGTGAAGGAAATGAGTTTTGACGCCACGAGTCGTATGCAACGCCTCCAAGAGTTTTGGATCAGCATTGCTTCGGCCGAACAGCGCAAAGGCCGCGCCGGCCGTACGGGTCCCGGGGTTTGCTATAGACTTTACTCTGAGGCCGACTTCAAGGCCTTTCAGCACAACTCGCAGCCAGAGATCAGACGCGTTCCGCTCCACTCACTGCTGCTTCAGATGATATCAATGGGTTTACCGGACGCCCGAAAGTTCCCATTCCTGGAACCGCCGGCCCTTAAGAGCATTGAACAGACGATCGACAGTCTGAGGGAACAGTCGGCTCTGACCGCCGATGAATGCCTGACACCGATGGGCAAAATGCTGGCCCGACTCCCGGTCGACATAACGATCGGCAAAATGCTTATTCTTAGTTCGGTGTTTGACTTAACGGATCCGATACTGTCGTTGGCGGCGGCGCTCAGCGTTCAGTCGCCGATCACTAACCAATCCATTCACGACAGAGAGGCCATCGACGCCCGGCGTCCTCTGCAGTCGCCAGAAGGCGATCCCTTCACTCTATTGAATGCGTACAACAAATGGCTGGAAATCAAGTCAGAGCAGCAGAACTCGAAGAAGTGGTGCCGACAGCGCGGCCTCGAAGAGCA